TCTGTTCGCACGGCTCCATCGTTTTACGGCTATTGATCTCCTTGCCTTTAGAGAGAAGATGGTATCTCTATTGATGCACTTCATCGCGTCGATCCACAGGAGAGTACCGGTACAATGATGTTTCTTTGGCTGTGCGCTTTGATTATTACTTTACATCCTGATGGCCTATTTGGTTCCAAGTCTGCGGGTGATGATTGCGTGTTTTCAGGTATGTATGACACTCATGCTTATTGGAGACCTTTGCTGAAACGCCTACCATTATTTAGAGGGACCATTGCAGAGAGCTGCTTGTCTTTTGGTGCTTTGACGTTTACAAGATCACAACTATGGATTGCTAAGTATTGTTGGATGAGTTGGGACAATTGTTTATGGTGCATCTTTTATAGGTGAATCATGTCAGCCATGGGGAAGCGTTTATGTCTTTTGGTGGTGTCAACCTTTATTGCGTCTCGGGTGGTTGGTTACTAAGCAACGGGCGATTTCTCTGGAGAATGTCAGTCAATGAACGTCTTTTATGAGTGGATTGTATCAGCAACAACAGCATGCATATCTTTGGTGCCATATCAACCCTCATCCCATCATCTGGTGCTTCCCATTGCCTGCAATTTGGTGAACCTCCTGAAACAAAGGTCCCTTATCGATCGATCATGTCAGCAACAAGGAGCAGGTTTATACCTTTGGCGTCAGCAAGCTTTCGATCATCTCGTGGTTCTGATTATCGGCAATTCCTTTGATGGATCTCTACAACTATACGCGTCTTATGGATGGATAATGTCATCAACAAGCAATGAGAGTCCGCGTTGACATCTTCGGTGTTACCAAGGTCATTTATGCATCTCCTCAAGGCATTCATCGTCAAGCTGCATTCGATTTCCAATGAAAAACGATTGCCATTCACATCGCTCTTTAGCCATATGTACGTCACTCCGCAGCTAGGATCTGGTTTGGGCTTTTCGATGCACAATGCTTTCTCGATTTGCATGTGGTCTTGGGCAGCAAGGATTGTCTCGTTGTCTCTCTTTGTAAGGGCTCTTCGGCATCATGTAAGTATGCTCTCTTTGGTGGTATCAATATTACTCAATCTTCTCACTGCATATGCCCATAAAGTATCGTTCCATCGCTTTCGAGCCGAGTGCCACCGTAGCGGGCCTTATCAACAAGCGGACGATTGCAAAGAATCGGCTTGATTTGGATATCAGCAGGATTTCGTGCATATGGCTATCATTGGTAAATAGAGGATTTTTTGGCTCCAATCCCAACCAACATCCTTTTTTATTATAGTGTGCGGACTATTCAGCAATCTACTTGTCTTCTGGTTCTTTGGGATTTTCATGGATGAAGCTGTCACTGAATGTCGACATGTTTTCGTGCGTATGGCTGTCGTTGGTAAACAGTGGATGATCCGTGTTTTGGCTCCAATCCCAACCAACCCCCTCTTTTATTATAGTATGTGTGCTATTCAGCAAGCTACTTGTCTTCTGGTGCATTGGAATTTTCATGCATGAAGCTGTCATTGGTAAATAATGATCCATTCTTTCTTTCAACGCCTACTAACACCCTCTTTCATGTGGGTTATTCAGCGAGCTACTTGTCTTCTGGTTCTTTGGGATTTTCATGGATGCAGCTATCATTGGATATCGACAGGGTTTATTCATATTTCATATGGCTTTCATTGGTAAATAGTGGGTCACCCGTTTTTTGGCTCCAATCCCAACCAACCCTCTCTTTTATTATAGTATGTGTGCTATTCAGCAAACTATTTGTATTTTGGTCCTTTGGAATATTCATGGATGCAGCTGGCATTGCTAAGTATCGTTCTATGGATTCGGGTCAAAGAGCAACGTCGACAGCATCCTTCAGTGTCAGCTTGCCTTATTACATCTTTCGATGGTTTTCGTTACTGTTCCACCTATTGGACACTTCCTTTCATAGCATCTGCAGCGGCAAGGCAACAAGTTCTATATCTTTTGGTGTCGCCGAGTTTTATCTCGTCTTATTGTGGTCCTGGTTGTTGACAACCCTTTCAATGGATATCCTGCTAAACATGCCTGTTATCGGTGGATCATATCAGCTACAAGCAAGAAGCAGCAATGAGCAACAGAGCCCACGTCTTTAGTGTCAACAACATTTACTTGATTCCCTGGTGTTCTCGTTATTGGCCAATTGATTTCAAGAGCCATCTTCACCGCACGTATCTTATGGATGTATCACATCAGCAACAAACAACAATGTTACGTGTCCTTTTGGTGCTGTCAAGGTGTATCCATCTCTCATGGCATTCATCATCAAGTATCGTTTGGAGAAACGGCTATCAGAATTGGTCACTGTGTCGACATCTCTACAGCAAGGAAATGTGTTCTGATTACTGGGTGGCGTCAAACATCGTGGGTTCTCATATGACACTAGCTAAGTATTGTTACCATTACCTCAAAGATAAATTAGTGATATGCAGTTTTATAGGCCCATCATTCCATCAAGCTATAATTTCGCATGCTTTTTGGTGCCATCAAAGTCTCTCCTTACAGCTGTCAATGGCGCATCCTATTGAATTGGAAGACGAAGATCAACATTTGAATTTGGGTGGGTGTCTCAGAAGCAAGCAAGCGATCTCTATCTTATAGTTGTGGTTGTCAAGGATACCGTTTCCATGGTTTTGGAAATCAGCTACCTGCAAGTCGCCTCTTTATCGGTGGATCTTCAGAGCAATGTTTTTATCGGTGCCATGGCTGATCTCATTCCTCAAGTACTTGTATGGATACCTTGGACGTTCTCTTACAAGTGAACATTCTCATGTGTGCTATTTCATCAAGACCGGATTTATTTGTTGCAGTGCATGATGTGTCTCTCATGACGCCTACCCAAGAAGGTCGCTTGATGGCAGCTACTACTCATATGGCGGATGTTTATTTGCTATGGGTAGAACGGGATGGTGCCTTACTCTTTTGTGTAAAGCATCGTTGGTAGCTATGATTCATTTGCGACAGTGTGGTCAGCCCTATCATGGCCCTATCAATTGCATTTGAGGATTACTGCCTTAGCCGTTGGAAGCTAGACTGTTACTCAGTGGCTTTGTGGTAGATATGGGATCATGTATTGCTTTTCGCTCTTATGGGTCGGCCTCTGTGGGCGTGGGATGCTATCCTTTTATCAGACCGAACATGTTGGCTCGAGCAGCACCTATAGAAGATGCTGTTGTTTACAATGGCAGCCCCCGTTATCCGGCTTGGTGCACCGTAGGGGAGAGGGTGACGGCAAAGCCTTCGCGTGGCCATCCTTGTCAGTACATGGGTTTCCATGGAAGCTAATTTGCCACCTTATCATTTATATATTTATTACGCATTCGTGAGCATCACTAACATATCAAAGACCTCACGTTTGATTGTATAGTTTAGAGATACAGACACCTTTATGTTTTACCTATGCTGTAAGCATGATGGAGTTGCTTTTTCCTAATGGATGGCGTCGGCTGCATGAACAGAAAGATGAAGAGCTGCTGAGTGTAAATGGCACGTGGTAGTTACACACGAACGTCCTTGACAGGTTATTGCACACATGGATCATGATCATGATTGCCTTGAGGAAGGTAAGTAAGTATACAACATCCAATAGTGAAGGTGTGTCAATGTTTGTGTATGGCAATAATGGCCCCATATCGCATTTGGATTCTGCGGGAGTGTCGAGTTGCATAAAAAGTGACGCGCACGGACCATGCTTAATGCCTTCACAGCCGGGTTAGAAAGTTAGGAGGGCATGCATAATGAAATAAAACATTATAGTGTATGGGCATGTGTTTGATTGGTAATGTAGAATTCACGTTGCTTTAAGCAGAGATCAAACCACTCTTTATTCATGATACATTCGTTAGATGGGCATTACTATTTGAGAGCCACATACATAATGCTGGATCAACAACAACACCAGCAGCAGTACACGATGATGATGTATATTAACGATGCTTTTATTCCTGAATACCCTATACTTTTACTGCAACAATATTCGTCATAACCATACAAGAGCAACACGTTATGACTTTGGGGCAAGTGGTGTTGTGTGGAAGCTCTCGACTCAAGCCGCGAAAATCAAAGTGTGGCGCCTTAGCCATTATGAGGTGTGGGGTCCATGGAGACGCCGCTCAATTTTAAGTTCAGCTGCGTCGCGTCCAGAAACAAATTACTGCGGATCACCTGGCAACCTCCACCTTTTTGCTCTCAACTCAATCGATCGACTCGCATGGCGTGCGTGCTTTTCCTACTATCACGATGTTTTGGCCAAAGTAAGTTGTTTCTATCTTTTCGTTGTGTTGCTTATAACACTCACCATGCCTTGTTTGCAGCGACTTGGGGGACCTAATGGTGTGCATTGGAAACTCTTTGCCCCCTCACCAGCCCGGTTTCCACACAAGGCTTCCATGAATCCCAGCAGATCTTGATACGGAGGTAGCGAGGATGTTGGCCATTCCTCGTAAACTGGCTGCCCACCACGTGTCGGCGTGTTGTATGGGCGTTGGCCGAGGACGAAACGCAGACCGGTAGCAGTGTCCAGGGTGCACTAATAAAAGGCCGCTATCCAAAGATACCAGCAAGTGGCTTTTGTTTGGGTAATGCCAAAGGATTCATTGGAAGGAAACTAGGAGGGA